TTAAAAAGCCAAGAAGTCCAGAACAGAAATGGAATCCTCCGTGGAGTGAATGGGAAGTGGCCAAGGTAGCAAACCTGGGCCCAGAGGCACACAGTGCTGACCCCTAGATGAACACCCCCACATCGTGTGTCAGGGCAGCAGCAAAGCAGACATGCATATTTGATGGCACAGACATAAACCTGAGTAAGGGAAACACGGTTTGGGATTTTAAAACTTATAGGAGGGGACTGGGTTATATAAAATTCTTTAAAGACACATGGACAAAAGGTTTTTTGTTTTAACCACAAGTATTTATTGATGGATCAAAGAATACAATTTTAATGGAAACAATAAGGCACAACCGTGGATTAAAACAGTTTGCTATACAGCCAAAAGGAGGAAAAAGCCACATCTTAAGAACTTTAAATATGGAAGTCAAGGAGCCTCTGAAGTACCTCTCTAAAAGATCAGTGTCAGAAAATTCTTCCCCTTTCTACATTTCCTATATTACATCACTTGATCACAAAGTCAGACTGATACTTCATCAAGAATTCCTCAGTCATTCATACTTGAGTCATCCGGCCTGGCCACTCCTGTTTGCCACTCTTCCCAATCCCTCTGCAGTATCTTATTTTTTGTTTTTAAGCAATTCCCTTCCTCAAGTACTGAGTGCACATCTTGGATAGCCTTCCAAAGCAAGGAAACAACCAAGCGAGCAAGCAATGCGTCAGAGACAATCAGCCAAGGGCAAACACATAGACGAGGAGACTGCTAAAGACAGGATGGCGACAGCCTGATTCACTGAGGTCTGTACTAAGCTGGAGGGGCACAGAAGTTGCTCTGGCTCGTGCAGAGGCCTGTCACACCACCTCAGATCGTGCCACTGATGCCAGACTCCTTGCTTCTAAGAGATGAGTAGTGGTTTACAAGAGGAGCTAGGAAGTCAATGTAACCAGGCAGCTTCTGATAACAATACATTCAATGCTTTGGACCTCGTTCAGGAGCAGACTATGGCTTCCAGCCTTAACATTTGCCAAGTATAAAATTCATTGAGAATTTTGTGCAAAACTTCAAGATACTGAGGACAGTCTTTAAATCTCTTGGACTGGGATAAGGTAGGCACTTCTGTTAACACTGCTCATCTTATTTGGAAATGGGACGTGAGACACATTCCAGGGCAAATAACACTGAGGCATAAACCATGGTGCAGAAGTGGGGGTACGCCAGGGTTTTAGAGTGCCCGGGCTCCTTGATCAAAAAGCCACGAGAAAGTTCCTCAAGCGTATTGTCAGGGCAGCCATTCTGGTGGTGATGGTATCCCCAAACTAAGCAAACCTGCAAGTATACGGCCCTTTTCTGAGGAGTCAACACTGTACTAACAAGAGTAGCCATGTAGTAGTTATGTATGTTGAGAACCAGAGGCCAGAGGTAGAGCGACCCAGGTGAGCCATCTAGAAGCCTTGGCTCTACACCGTGCACCTTGGCTCTACACCGCCACCTTTCAACAAGAACACCTAACCAACAGCCCTTTAATGATAGAGCAGAGTGCGGGGGACCAAAAGATGATCATTCTTCAGAGAGAAGTGTTGGTTATGGAAAAGCTCCTGGAGAGGCAACATCCCAGAGACCCATTTAAGAATAAAGGTAGACAAAAACCCGCCAGATCGCCGCACTACCCTGCCAAGTCAGAAATACGTTTCACAGGCACAGCTTGGGGTGCCAAGTAGAACAGGGGGACTGAAGCTTAGTGAAGAGCAGGGAGACTGAAGAACTAAGTGAATGGTATGTTGGGTGAAAGGGGAGGAGGAAGCAAAGGACATACAAAAAAGGCTGGAGGAGCATGCCGAAGCCTGGCTGGAGGGAAGGCAGCAAGGCTGTCGTCTATATCCAGTGAAAGAGCTTTGCTGGTTGGTTCTTGGCATGAATTCCCTCTCTCACTTTTTCAGACTGGATGGACATATGGCCTTCAGCAGCAAACCAGGGAAGATGATATTCAGAAATGGAGATAACTGGCGAATGATACTGAACAGAAATGGACGGGGGTACCATTCTGTAATGCCTTGTTTATGCACCGAAGGCAGGTTTATGTTGACAGGACATGTCTGGGGTTGTCATGCAACAGCAGTACTACTTTGGGAGAAAGGGAATGATGGGGTGGAGGTGGGGCTGGTGGACAGGACGACTCTTGAGTTCCAGTTCTTAAATACTAGAAAGCAGGGAACAGTTTGGTCTCAGTCCTTCAGTGAAGAAATCGGATGCTCATTTTCTGTTCTACATCCACCTTCTCCAAAACCTGCAGGGGGAAAAAACCCCCAAATCCAATTATGGTTATGAAGGTCAAAACAGGAGATACTGTCCCAAGTTCTTATCTGAATGTTTTTCTTCCTCCCTCCTATGCAACAGAATTTCCCAACTTCTTCAGACTTTTTCAAACCAAGAGGGGACTGACTGACCTTAACAAATTCTGTGAAAGATATGGCGCTGTCCCCATCCTGATCTGCTTCCTGGATGGTCCTGTCTGCGATGCTGCCCAGCTGCTCATCTGAGATGTTTACTCCAACCATCATACGAAGCACCTACAGGACCAAAAGCCACGAATTACAGGAGACCTGGGGGTCAGGAGGGCTCTTTTATTTTATTTTAAAACATTTTATTCATTTATTTGAGAAACAGAGTGTGAGAGAGCATGAGAGGGGGGAGGGTCAGAGGGAGAAGCAGACTCCTAGCTGAGCAGGGAGCCTGATGCCTGGATCCCAAGACCCTGGGATCATGACCTGAGCTAAGGCAGACACTTCACTGATTGAGCCACCCAGGCACCCCAGGAGGACTCTTTTAAAAAAAGATTAAAGAAAAAGCCACTCCCACCCTCTTTTCCTTTGATGTCCTCAAATATAACAGCTAGAAAGCAGAAACCCTTGTCTTCTCATCTCGGCCATTTGAGACAACGAGATGAGCAGAACTCTCTGGCAAGGTCACTGGATAGGAAGGCAAAGCTTCACTGGGGGGAGAGTCCTTTGCATTTTGCTTTTCCATTACTTTTTGTCAGGAATACAGATAGATATGAGGCTCTGGTGGTATAGCAGTCATCCTGGGACCATGAGGTGAAAGTCCTCTGTGTTATGCATGCCAGAGCAAGAATACAGAAGCCCAGTTCCTGGACATCACATAGGTTCAGTATCAACCCAGATAATCTACCCCCAGACTTCTTGCTGCACGAGACAAACTAGTTCCTTATTGGTGTAAGTCAGTTTGGGAGGGCTTTCTGGGAATCCCACAGGAATGCAGTCCTCTCCAAAGCAGCTCATTAACCCAGCTATTCCTATAGCATAGCCAAGAAACATAAAGATCTTTGAAGGGGTAAATACTAACCCTTTCTTTTTAGAAAAACAACAAGCACATTTAAAGGACTGTAGTCAAGAGAATTTAACACGTTTCATCAAATTTGCTTCACACATAACAAAAAAACTTTTCCCCCAATTCTGCTAACATCTTCAGAGTGTAAATGTACTTTGAAAATTCTTACTTTAAGCAAAATAAGCAATGGTAGTGACATGACTTTTGGTATGAAATGGGGGAAGGGTGCTTTTGTGATGCCTCATATCACTGCTCTGTCTTCAGAGCTAAGAGCTGAACTTTTCTACACAAGGGAGAGCCCTTCTGGCCCAGCAGTTCACAGGCCTTCCTTTCCATTCTTCTCCAATCTCATGACATAGATTTTTAAAAAGTAAATCACAGGATTTTCTGAAAAGAAAAACAGAGCTGAAATACCAATTTGCATCAATACTGGTTATTTTTTTTTACAAACTGATTCTTGAAAATTGGAAGTTGTACATTTGGGAGTACAAAGACAGACACTGGAAGGATTAATAAAAAGAGGCATTCTTGGGGCGCCTGGGTGGCACAGTTTGTTAAGCATCTGACTCTGGGTTTTGGCTCAGGCCATGATCTCAGGGTTGTGAAATGGAGCCCCACACTGAGGGGGGCCCATTCTCTCTCTCCCTCTCTCCATGTGCGTGCGTGCTCACACACACACACACACACACTCTCTCTCTCTCTCTCAAAACAAATAAAATTTTTTTTAAAAAGATGCAATCCTGGCAAAAATACAGAATGGCCAAGCCATTTACCATTTTCCCTGATTGTGTGTGGCTGACTAGACAAATTCATCCTCAAATAGCAGCTTCTTCAGATCTCAGTCCAATTTTTCTCTGAAGTATTTTATTTTTAGAATTAGAGAACTGTACGGAGCATGTGGGCTCTGTGGGGAGAGGAGTGGTGTTATCTGAACAATCACTCATCCAGGCTATTAACGAGGACAAGAGCATCTAGAAGTGGCTTGATCCAGGTCCCAGCAACCAGTGGCCCTCACTGTCTGCCAGGCTTCTGTGGCCAGTTAGCTCTCGACAGAGTTACTCAGGGTTCCAGATGGGAATCTGATTAGCAAACAGGACTTTTATTATTACTATTTTTTTTTAAATAAAGATTTTCCTTATTTATTTGACAGAGACACAGCGAGAGAGGGAACATAAGCAGGAGGAGTGGGATAGGGAGAAGCAGGCTTCCCACCAAGCAGGAAGCACAATGTGGGGGCTTGATCCCCCTTGATCCCCTGCGATGGACCCTGGGATCATGACCTGAGCTGAAGACAGATGCTTAAGGGCTAAGCCATCCAGGCACCCCTACTACTTGTTTTCTTTCCTTTCTTTTCTTTTTTTTTTTTTTAAGATTTATTTATTTATTAGAGAGAGAAAAAGAGAGAGAGCACACAAGCAGGGGGAGGTGCAGAGGGAGAAAGAGAATCTCAAGCAGGTTCCCCGGTGAGCATGGAGCCAGACATGGGTCTCAAGCCCATTACCCCAATTACGACCTGAGGTGAAATCAAGAGTAGGACGCTCAACTGACTGAGGCAGGCACCCCTATTATTACTACTTGCTAATGTCTGGTAAGGTTTGTTGTTTATCCCTTATACCAGTGTAAGAAAGCTCCCTTCTATCTCTGTTTTTCTAAGAACTTTTTTTTTTTTAAATATGAAACACTTCACAAATTTGTGTGTCATCCTTGCACAGGGCCATGTTAATCTCTATATCATTCCAATTTCACTATATATGAGGCCAAAATGAGCACTTGCTAAGACTTTTTTTTTTGCTAAGACTTTTTAAAAAAAATCATGAATGGATGATGAATTTTTTCAAATATTTTTTTTTAAATAAAGATTTTATTTATTTGACAGAGATCACAAGTAGGCAGAGAGGCAGGCAAAGAGAGAGGGGGAAGCAGGCTCCCCGCTGAGCAGAGAGCCTGATGCGGGGCTTGATCCCAGGACCCTAGGATCATGACCTGAGCTAAAGGCAGAAGCTTTAACCCACTGAGCCACCCAGGCGCCCCATCAAATACTTTTATTCTGCGGAAAAGACCATGGAATTCTACTTTAATCTGGTAAGGTGGCAAAATTGATTGATTGATTTTCTAATTTTAAATTTGAATTTCTGATTTAAACCCACCTTGGCTAAAATCCAGCCTCCTTTTTATACACTGCTGGATTCAATGTATCAGTATTTTGTTTAGAATTTTTATATCTATTTGCATAAAAGAGATTGTGCTGTAATTTTCGTTACTTATGCAGTCTTCACATCAAAGCTACACTAGCCTCATAGAGTAGAGCAACTTATCTATTATGGTGTAATTGATAAACAAATAAACTATACATATTTAAAATATGCAGTCTGTTCCATTTTGACATATGTAGACACATGTAAAACTATCACCACAATCAAGATAATGAACATATCCATCATCCCCAAAAGTTCAACCAGGACTTTTTATATAAAAATCACACCAGGAAAATAGCCACTCAGCCTTCCCTTAGGATAAACTCATCACAAACTTTTAAATATCCACTGAATAGTTAAGAACTATGCATCATAAAATATTTTAGATACGGCAGTGTCTAGAAAGGCAAACTTTGTTTTCTTCTCACTTTGCTAAGATATTCATATCCTCTTCCCACTAGGATAAAACTAGTTCTCTGTCATCACAGCAGTCCATGAACACGTTTGTCCTAAAGTCACTTCAGGCCTGAGGAACACCCTAGTGGCACTGACTGGCACTCCAGCATATGATCTCCTCACCCCTGCCTCCGTTTTTTTGTTTTTTTTTTTGTTTTTTCTTGCCTCTGGCTTTTTTTTATCCTAATAATAGAAAACAAATCAATCTACCACTCCCAAAAATATTTCTGGCAGCCAGATCTTCTGGGTCAGAGGATGAAAACATTCAACTACAAAAGGACTGCCTCTGTCTTTTCTCCTCTGAACTGAGCAGTCTATGCATAGCCATTTTCAAAAAGTACATTCCTCTCAATGAAGATATCCCCAATCCAAAAGCAAAGAACACTAACACTGACCTGCAGACTGTTTTGAATTTTGCTCAGACACAGAAATGTTGGTCCTTAATCTGGCCTGAGTAATTTTCAGCTTAGCAGACTTCTTAAGACACTGAATGAGTTCAGATTTATTTGGGGGTGAGTGGAACCCACTTTACTTTTTAGTAAATCGAAATAGACAAATCTCCCTAGGAAATTCCTGAATGTATTAGCTTCCTAGGATCCTCCAGAATCATTAATATTAAATAAAAGAAAAAAGGAGAACTTTCTCCCCTCTAAACTTATATTTAAGGAAGTGGGGAAGACAAGAGGAAGGCAATGCTAGGAGGACGAAATTCTAGTCACTGCTAGTGGGAGGACAGGGAATTGTTCTCAGGAGCAACAAAGGACAGCAGTCGGCTCTGTACACCGGCCCGGCAACAATTCCTTGACTCCTACGTCAAGCTCAAGGACAGGTGGGACAGCAGCATTTACCTAAGTGTCATCAGAATGACCTGGATGTCAATAAGCTGATATAACAATAATGGAACTATCTGACTTAGACCATCTCCAATAGTGCAAGTAAGAGACGTTAAATTGGCTTTTAAACAACAAAAACATGTATTTTTGAGAACTCAATGAGCCACTGCGCATTTCCCCGGGATCATCGGGCTTTGCCTTATATCTAAGACGGTACTCTGCACCAGCAGGTATTATAAGGAAACGCTTGCTGAAAGAACAATTCCCACCCAAAAGGACAAGTAGGCAGAGCCCAAACAAGTTGTCCACAACCATGGCAGCTCTCCAACATACCTGTAACAGCTCATCACGGGAAATCTTGTCATCTTTATCCAAGTCATAGAGTCGAAAAGCAACTGGTAGGGGAAAACAAGAAGTTACTGGAAATTAGTAGTGTTTTGCCCCTTCTCAAGGCAGTAAATTTATAAAGAACACTAGATAGAAAACTGACAGCAAATACTGTTTCAAGAGTAACTTGACATGACTTCCAGAGCTTTTAAAGACACTGTAACATTTAAGAAACTGAAATGCATCTCGTAGTTGCTGTCTTCTTAACCCTGATAAAATAGGGCCCCTCTTCAGGCAAATCAGAAAACTTAATAAAAAGAAACAACTGAATTTTTTTTTTAACCTTAGAATGTTTAAAAAAAAAAATCTGTAAGTGGTTCTATACATGAGGTCATCTCACAAAACCTGCCAAGTCTACTGTGCATGGCACAGAGGGAGCCAGAAACGGGAGCCCTGCAGGCGAAGGAGCTGACCACACAAAGTATTGCTCTGGGAAAACGGCCACTCTGGCAGATCTGTGCCACGTTTCAAGCAACGGCCTTCCAAGTTGGAACCCTGAAAGTAAAGAACTTTGCTTTCAAATAAAAATGCCAAGAATTTGATGGTCTTCTGGCCTTATCATGTTTCTCTCTCTTTAATATCACGTCAGTCTTCTGGAAACTAGAATGAGAGAATTCAGAAGAGCAAAAATCATTCAGACAGTGCCACGTTGCTGAAGAGCTACCAGGTGAGGAATGTCCTACCATTGGATGATTTTCCTGGCAACCGTGAGAAATCGTCACACTGACTAAGTGACTGCCTTGTAATTATAGCTGAATCGAGTGTGGTTTTGAGGCTCGGAATCACAGTATGCTACTAAGATTTTTGGGGTTTGGTATGATGCTATGAATACGCGAAGGCCAAAACACACTGTTCTAGTTACTGAGATACAGATGTAGATCTTGTCCTCTGCAGCTCATGATCCTCTCACTTTAATACATTTGCAATGTTATCATACATATGAAATGCTGGGGAACAAAAACTATGGCAGTTATGCCTTTCTGGTTCAAGTAACATTTAAACATGGTCCTGAAAGACAGACAAATCTCACAACAGGTGGGATTCTAGGCAGAGCTTATACTAGACACAAAGGCATTAGAACATGGATGAATAGCTCAGTGTTGAAACATTACCCCTCTCCTCCCTGCCCTCCGATTGAGTCTACTAAAATTTCAAGTAAAAATTTTAGAAGACTTTAATTTACTTGCTGTAAGGTACATATGTGAATTCTAGAGGGGGAGGGGCACCTGGCTGGCTCAGTTAGTTGGTTTAGCATGTGACTCTTGATCTCTGGGTTGTGAGCTCAAGTTCTACATTGGGTATAGAGATTACTTAAATAAATAAACTTAAAAAGAGTCCAGAGGGGGAAATAACTAGGAGACTTTCTCTAATGTTTGCTTTCTTTAATTTGGTTAGTTGATTAACTTTCTATCAAATTTGAGAATTTATATGCTTAGGAGGTTTAGATCACAAAGGAAAGAGTTGCAAGGATCATTACTATTCCTAAAGGAGTATTTTTTAAACATTTTATTTATTTATTTATTTGAAAGAGTGAGAGCCCAAGCAGGGGAGACTAGCAGAGGGAGAGGGAGAAACAGACTCCCTGCTGAGCAGGGAGCCCAATGCAAAGCTCAGGACCTAGAGATCATGACCTAAGCTGAAGGCAGACACTTAACTGACTAAGCCACCCACATGCCCCTGGAATATGTGTTTAATATACTCCCCAGACAGTGAACACACAGACACACACATACCTGTATATGTTGTCAAGTTTAAAATACATGAAATGTGTAATCTACTAAGCACTCTACAGGATGATTTCGGAATGGAAATATGTTTGCTATAGAAACCATAAACATCTGTTTCAGAATTTTTTATTTAAACAACCATTTATTTTCATTTTTATATGAAATTTTAATTTAATTTTATTTATTTTTAAAGATTTTATTTATTTATTTGACAGGCAGAGATCACAAGTAGACAGAGAGGCAGGCAGAGAGAGAGAGGGGGAAGCAGGCTCTCTGCTGAGCAGAGAGCCTGATGCGGGGCTCGATCCCAGGACACTGAGATCATGACCGGAGCTGAAGGCAGAGGCTTTAACCCACTGGGCCACATAGGTGCCCCTATATGAAATTTTTAAAAGATTTTATTTATTTATTTGACAGAGAGGGAGAGAGAGAGAGATCACAAGTAGGCAGAGAGGCAGGCAGAGGGGGAGGGGGAAGCAGGCGCCCCACTGAGCAGAGCGCCCGACACGGGGCTAGATCCGAAGACCCTGAGATCATGACCTGAGTCGAAGGCAGAGGCTTAACCCACTAAGCCACAAAGGCACCCCAATTTTCTTTTTTTTTAAAATTAACCTCTACACCCAATGTGGGGTTCACACTCGTGATGCCCAGATCAAGAGTGCCATGCTGTACTACTGAGCTAGCCAGGAGCCCCTGTTTCTGAATTTTTTAATCAGGTAACTGTTATAACACATCTCCTGTGTTCTGTATTTACAGAAGCCTGAACTGCTAATTCCCTTTTTTCTTTTCTTTTTTTAAGGTTTGTTTATTTATTTATTTTAGAGAGAGTGGGAGAGAGAGAACAAGTGGGAGTAGGGGGAGGGGCAGAGGGAGAGAGAGAAAATCCTTCAGCAGAATCTCTGCTGAGCGTGGAGCCTAACAAAGGGCTTGATCCCAGGACCTTGTGATCATGACCTGAGCTGAAAAGTCAGATGCTTAACCGAATGAGCCTCCCAGATGCCCAACCGAATGAGCCTCCCAGATGCCCCTGAAACTGGTAATTCTTTTTTTTTTTTTTTTTAAGATTTTATTTATTTGACAGACAGAAATCACAAGTAGGCAGAGAGGCAGGCACAGAGAGAGGGGAAGGCAGGCTCCCTGCAGAGCAGAGAGCCCGATGCGGGGCCCGATCC